AGGACTTACGTCCTGGTCACGGAGAGGCTTTAGCGTAAAGGTAAAGGAACTTTCCACGGTGAAAACATACTAGTTAGTATGCACATGAGCTGCAGTAGTTTAAAAATATATATATGTATAAATTTACTATAAACACTTGTCATTTAAGCATAATTATTTCCCAATAATTAGCTTAAAATCATAATTATAAGTGGCAGTTATTATAAATAGGGTATCTGTTCATTAAAACGTTTAAAAAGCAGAACAGCCTGGCCAGCGTGACTCAGTGGTTGAGCACTGACCTATGAAGCAAGAGGTCACAGTTCGATGCCCCGTCAGGCACATCCCCAGTGGGGGGCGTGCGGGAGGCAGCCGATCCATGGTTCCCTCTCATCATGGATGTTTCTCTCTCCCTCTCCCTCTCCCTTCCTCTCTGACATCAGTGAAAATATATTTAAAAAAATGACAAGCAGGCCACTGCTGAGTCTCGCTGCTCAATCCGACTCGTGCTGCCAGTTTCTCCTGAGGACGTCAGCATGTGCTGCCCCAGTGGGCGTGTTCTCTTCTCTGCTGGGTGACATGGGGACCCGGCCGGGGGCTTTGTTACAGAAATTACCTTTTCTGCATCTTGGTTTCTCATCGATAAAAGCTGAGGGAGTGGCGAGTTTGATTGTTCGTATCCAAGATGTGAGGTTACGTCCCATGAGCCCTCGCACATTCCGAGTCTGCATCTGGGACAAGTGGCAGGACGAGTCTCCTAATAACCCCCCAGGTGACCCCCCTAAATATCGCCGTCCTCCCTTATCCACGGCTTCGCTTTATGCGGTTTCAGTGACCCCTGGTCCACTGGGGCCCGAAAATATTAAATGGAAAATTCCAGAAACAAACAGTTCGTAAGTTTAAATTCTGTGCCATCCTCAGGCCAGAATGAAATCTCAGTGTCCATTCCTTCTCGCCCGATGAGAAGCCACCTTGTCAGTGCGTTCACGCCACAGACACCCCCGCCTGCCGGTCACTCAGCAGCCGCCTTCGTTATCAGATCCCGTCCAGTCCGCAGGGTTTGTGCTCAAGCAGCCCTGGTTTTACTTACTAATGCCACGTTCTCATAACTCATTGCAGCAGATTGTTACCACTGTCCTATTTCATTACTAGTTACTGTTGTTAATCTCTAACTGTGCCTAATTTATAATTAAACTTTATCATAGTTGTGTACATACAGGAGAAAACATGGTATATACAGGGTCAGTACTACCCACAGTTTAGGCACCCACGGGGTCTTAAAACGCATCTCCCGTGAACCAGGGGGCACCGTAAAGGGCGAAGCAGCACCAGGACCTGCCGCCCTCCCTCGGGCCAGGTCCTGTGGACAGCCTGTGACCGTCACAGCACCCAGAAGGAGGCCCTGCATGAGTTTGCAGAGGCCAGTGCCGGCACCCACGGCGTTCCCGCCACCCACGGCGCTCCCAGCGTCCTGCCCTGAGCCCCTGCAGCTCCCTGACGACACAGATGCAGGGAGCAGGTGCGGGTGAGGGGCAGGACTCAGAGAGGCACAGAGTCTGGGGCTGGGGCTGGAGGCAGCGCTTTGCAAGGTCAGAGCCTCACTACCTACGTTTTTCTCAGACCAAAGGAGGAGCTTGTTGACCTTGAGAGGTGGCGTTCCCCCTCTGCTTCTGGTCCGCTCTGCTCTGGTATTTGCTCCGCGGGCTGGTCGGGTTCCAGCCCCAAGCCCAGTACAAGGAGGCAGCGTGGGCACACGGCTGTGTCATTCCTTTCCTGACCTCCCTGTCTCCAGAGCTGGCAAGGCCCGGGGGGTGGGGTGGGCCCTGCATTGTTCTTGCTTCACAGGATCAGGATCAACGTGCACATCAGAAGCAGCAGGCAGCATGGCGAGGACACACACACACACACACACACACACACACAGGAACACACACAGATACACACGGGGATACAAACACACAGATAAACACGGGGACATACACACACACACACACACACACACACCTGCAAGGACGCTTTCTGGCTGAAAAGAGGGTAGAACTCTTTCCTTCGACTTTCCCTGAATGTCCAGTGTCAGAGAGAGGCCAGCTGCTGGGAAGGGCAGGGCAGCACCTCCACACGTGGTCCCACAGCCTCTCGCCCGAGAGCCACAGCGAGTGCAGGTACGTACCCGGCCTGGGCGCTGTCCCGATACGGCAGCACTGAGAACACGCTGCAGAAGGATCGCCTGCCACTGAGGAGGACGATTCTACAAAATAAAAACAGAAAAAGAACAAACAACTAAATGCAAAGACTCTTAAATTTAAAAATCCCCGAGCGATGAAGTGCTCATGGGATTCGCAGCGGCGTCTGCCCCTCCCTCCGCCTCCGCCTCCGCTGCCTCTGATCCGGTCAGCCAGCGAGACACCCTGCACGGAGGGTCTGCAAGGAGTCCTTCTCCGTGCGACCTGCTGGCTCTGGGCTGCACAGGCCAGACGGGCGCAGGGCTGAGCTGGGTGCCCGGTGCTGTGCCCGCAGCACATCAAACCCCTGGCTCCCACCCTGCAGTTACGGAGCAAGAGCAACGGGCCAGGAACCTGGAGCCGGAGAGACACGCAGACGCTTGGCAGGTGTGTCTCCCAGGCTGCGGCACAGGGCTCTGAGGGTCAAGGAAGGAACAAGGACCAGCAGCCTCAGCCCCATCCCTGCGACAGACACTCCTGGAAACGGCCCCGCACGGCCCTCTCACGTGATCGATCGACAGGCACGCGGACAGGCATTAGCGAGCTCTCAGCAGCACGGACCCTGGCATCGAGAATAACGTTTGCGAAAGAGAGTGACGGATGGAAACAATGGAGAAACGAGTGGAAATTAAAAAACAACATTCTTTGGTGCCATGGCAACACACATCAGATGCGAAGCTTGTTGGCTTCTGTCATCTTTCCCTTCAGTAACTAACCCTGAAGCCAGCGGAGCGGACAGCACCACTGGCATCAGATTGGGGGGCTCTGACCTGGTTCACTGGGACATTCCGTGGCTTCCACGCTCGCAAGTCGGGCTTCCCAGCACGGCACCGGCCTGTCTCCTCGCTCTTCCTGCCTCTCTGGCCCTCACACACGGCACCCCCCACGCCCCTCACTCACCACAAAGGACTTGCACACCCACCTTCAAGTCCCGCCTTGCACGCCTCTGTCCTTTGTTGTTCCTTCTGCCTGTTGTGCCACATGGCACTCGGGACCTCGTATTTGTCCCTCAACACTGGCTCCGCCGTCCCCTCCCCAGTTACTCATTCCCCTCGGCGCTGCTTCTGCTCCCGATTTCCTCCTCAGGAGGGTACGGACCCCAGAGCGGCGAACCAGGGGCTGCTCCCCTCTTCCCGCGGTGGGTGCAGCCGTGGCACCTGGCAGCCCCCCCACCCCAACGCCCTGGGAGCACCGAGTCCCCATCACCGGGGACAGGACTGCGGCTGCTCACTGCACAGTGACTCCCGTCCACAGTGGCCGACGGGACCCACAACGTCCCAGCTTCACACACGGGGGCTTTCCTCCGAGCCCCGTGTCCCACGTGGAAAGGACAGGAACTGTAACTGCCTTGTTGGAACGTCACTGCAGCGATGAGAGCACAGGACGCCCCAGTCACTGGAGCCCGTTCGGGGGCGGGGGGGGGGCGGTGAGTTCACCAGCAGAGTCTCAGACTGAGAACCCTGCAGTCTGTGCTCCACGGACAATGAAGGACCACACGTGTGGCCTGTCTGTGAACGGACACGCACACAGAGGGCCTCTTCTCTCCCAAGGGGGATTCTCATCGTCCGCCACAGCCCCGAGGCCTGGCCACTTCTGCAAGGACCTGGTGTCCACCCGGAGGGGCGGCCGAGGCCTGCAGGCCACACCCCGCTGCTCCCTGGTCCGCTCCGGAGAGCCGGCTGCCTGCAGCACCGTGTTGATTTGCTCAAGTAGATGTAATAGCTCCTACTCACACGTGTCTATCAGACGCCAGATCTAAACACTGTAACGAAGGGGGCACGGGAGCTGACACACTCGCGGGTGTGGCTGACCGTGGGCCCCATCACCCCGGGTGCCTGAGGCCACGCTCCTCTCTGAGACCAGAAGAGGCTCCTCCTGTGGGCTGGGCTGGGCACCCAAGGGCTCCTCGGACACCCAGTGATCTGCCTTCACCCGGTGTTGAGGGTGTCTTTCAGCCTGGCCTGCAGGTCACCAGGCGGAGCCTGAGGTGGGGACAGAGAGTGACTGATCCCAACAGCAGCCGTGACATCAGGGCTCTGTGTCCCCCGCTCTGCACAGCCTGGGCCCCTGCCCAGATGGGAGGAGAGGGGTTCTGCACCCCCAGCCCCACCCCCGCCCGCTTTCCACCAGGAGAAAAGCCTGGAGCCCCGCCCTCTCCCCGTCCACGTGAGGAAGGAAGGCGTTGGACAGACTCGTCTGGCTTAGCGGACGGCATCTCGTCACTCGGGCTAAAGTGCCCTCCTTCCCACACACCGAGCTTGTTTGGACGTTTTTACTAGAACAAGAGAATGAGAGCGTGTAATGCCTGTGAAACGCGAGCATTCTTTCCGAGGCTGCAGCCACCACGTGCCCGTCAGTAAATGAGCTGCATTGTTCGCGACATGAAAGCTCGCACTGTGTGGTCTGGCCAGGAGGCCTGGGAGCGGCCGACAGCTCGAGTCTCATTCAGAAAAGCATGTTCCTCTAAGCACTGGGCAGGCTCAGCAGCAAGTAGGTGCCTCTCTGGTCCAGCAGCTGGGCTGGGGGAGGCGAGGGAGGACCACACGCCCCTGGGCACGTCCCGTCCTTTCTCGGCCGCCATCCGTACCCGCCCACTGTCTCAGGGACAGAGAAGTCCCACAGGTCTGCAGCGGTTCATGCCCCACGGAGCTGGCCAGTCAATGCAGCCGCCGAGAACACAGCCCACGTGTGTCCTGAAGTAGCTCTGGGATCCGGGGGACGGCAGGCCTCGCCCGAGCAGCAAATACCAAGCGCGGCGAGCTCGTGCCTCTGCTTCCGACAGCGGCAGCTCCACGCAGTGACTAGAGCCCCACGCGGGGTCCAGACCTGGGGTTCCTGTGAAGGTGCCGATTCGCTCTTTGTGAGCGCCAGGCAGCGTCCGTCCTGCACACACACAAGGATGTCAGACTCGCAGCCCTACACGCGCGTGTGCGTTTGCAGAAGCAGATCAGATGCAGCGCAGGACGACATGACAGCCCGCTCCGTTCCGATGGCCCGATGGGCTTGGGAAACCGGCCGCCTCCACGTCTCCCTTCCGGCCACAGGGGCGCCTTCTCTCCTGCACGAGAGGCCTGTGAAGCCATTTCCCGTCTGCGACACGGAGCCGGAGCTGGTCAGGATGAGCAGGAAGCGGTACACGAAGGGAAGGGCTTCAAAGAGGCACTAAGTCCAGAGAGATGGGCCTTTGAGGGAATAGAGATCACATCCCCATACGCAGAGTCTGTCAGTGCGGCAGGCCCATGGCTGGGCTCCCTCGGGTCCAGGGTTTTCCAAACCCTCCCAGGAGGCACCCTCTAACTTTCTTCTTCACTAGCCCCTTTTCTGTGCTTAGGAAAGTGTTTCTGGTCTGAGGGAACTTGCGCTTCAGGCCACAAAGCCTGCGTCCCTGGTGAGATGCCGGAGGGCTCGGGACGGCCGGGAAATGCACACGGCCCCCCGACAGCCGACAGAGCCCATGGCCCACGTGCACTGCATCTGCCTTCAACCCGGCTGCCCGGTGCCCAGTGTCTGAGCAGACGGCGTCCGGGGCCATCCAGGGCTTGTAGGTGTTGCCTCTGAAGCCCCAAACCAGCAGCTTGCTCTATTTCTAGACCTCGAGGCGTCTCTCTTGGCGTGAGGAGGCCTGAGGTCTGCAGGTGGAATGTTCCAATTGGGCAGAAACGTTCTCCTCCAGACAGAAAAACCAGCAGCCGACTTCAGAAGTTGGAGCGAAGAGAACGGCACGCACCACATGAAGGCTGAGTCAGTGACGCAGGAACACAGCCCAGGCGTCCACGGGCCAGGCGTCCACGGGCCGGGTGTCCACGCGAGGTGCTGGGTGTCCACGGGCCAGGCGTCCACGCGAGGTGCCGGCACACAGGCAGCAACACACTCTCAAACTCTGCAGTTCACCCTCCCTGTGCCCAGGGAGCAGGAAGGAACACACTGAGAATGTGTCGAACCGTGTTCCCCAAAGGACGTGTGGAGTCCTGACCCCGGGACCTGTGCGTGCGGCCTTAGCTGGAGCCAGGGGCCTGGCAGATGCAACCAGCCTAGGACAAGGCCATGCTGGAGGGGTGGGCCCGAGACCCAGGGACTGGGTTCACCAGGAGAGGGTTTGGAGAAACCAGACCCCGAGGGAAGACGGCCACGAGATGGGGAGGTGGAGCGAGAAGGCGCCCACGGAGGAGAGGGACTTGCAGCCGAGCAAGTGTGTGGCCCGTGCGGAGAACAAGCGCGTGTTTGGCGCCACAATGCAGACCGTGTGGCTGAAGATGGTGTGATGAGTTCTTTTCTTTTTTTCAGGGGGGCGTGGAGGAAGGGAGGGAGAGAGAGAGAAACATCCATCGGTTGCCTCTCATACACACCCAGTTCTTTTTCTGCCTTCACACGGAGACAGGTCGGCGGTGGGGAAGTCATGTTGGACTTGACAGTTGGAGAAGAAAGCAAAGCTTGGCTGGGTTTGGGGAGAATAGAGTTCAGACTACGAAGTGGATGCCGGGCTGCGGGCCGGATCCCCAGTAGGGGGCGTACAGGAGGCAGCAGATCGGTGATTCTCTCTCACTATGTTTCTCTCTCCCCCTCTCCCTTCCTCTCTGACATCAATGGGAGTGGCTGCGGAGACGGCAGTGGGCAGTCACAAAAAGACGGCTAGCAGCTCCGTGATGACAGCACCACCAGCCTGCATGGCGTGCGTAGGCACCTGACTTGTGCCAGCTCGGCGCCCCCCCCCTTGCTCCGACGCCCTGTGCAGCCTCACTCACCACGGTGCTGGCCATGCTTCCCTTCGTCCGGGCTCTCCCTTTCCCGTGCCCGCCTGTTGGCCCCGTTCCTGCTCCAGGACCTGTCCTGGCCCAGCCCACTCCAAGGCCAGTTTTTTAGGTCCCTCTTCTCTGAGGCGCCTTCCCTCCTCCAGCCCCTGAACTGGAACAGCATGTCCCATGCATCCGCCAACGTGGCAGGGCCCGGAGCAGCGGAGCGGCTGAGGTGCGGGCTGAGCACGCTGGGAAGAAGTGGCTGCCCGTTCCCTGGGGCTGCCCCACAACGCGCCACAACGGGGCGACTTCAACAGCACGCTGTGCCCGCTCCGGGTGAACGCGGAGAGAACAGGTGAACGCAAAGAGAACGGGGTGAACGCGGGGAGAACGGGGTGAACGCGGGGAGAACGGGTGAACGCGGGGAGAACGGGGTGAACGCAGAGAGAACGGGGTGAACGGGGTGAACGCGGGGAGAACGGGGTGAACGCAGAGAGAACGGGGTGAACGGGGTGAACGCGGGGAGAACGGGGTGAACGCAGAGAGAACGGGGTGAACGGGGTGAACGCAGAGAGAACGGGTGAACGCGGGGAGAACGGGGTGAACGGGGTGAATGCGGGGAGGACGGGGTGAACGCGGGGAGAACGGGGTGAACGGGGTGAATTCGGGGAGAACGGGTGAATGCGGGGAGAACGGGGTGAACACGGAGAGAATGGGTGAACGTGGGGAGAACGGGGTGAAGGCGGGGAGAACGGGATGAACGCGGGGAGAACGGGGTGAACGCGGAGAGGACAGGGTGAACGCGGAGAGGACGGGGTGAACAGGGAGAGAACGGGGTGAACGGGGGGAGAACGGGTGAACGGGGAGAGAACGGGGAGAGAACGGGGAGAGAACAGGGTGAACGCGGGAGAACGGGGTGAACGCGGAGAGGACGGGGTGAACTCGGGGAGAACGGGTGAACGCGGAGATGCCGAGGCCCCAGCTGTATCTCCAAGCAGCTGCCCTGATGTTACTGACCACGAGGCTGACATAGGTGTTTTGTACTGTTTTCCAGGAAACACAGGATTGTCTTATCACGCTTGGCCTTCAGTTTCTGATCTTTCCCCTTTTCTCCCTTAAACTGTGCTGAACACGCAGGGTCAGGTCAGGCGTCTTGTCCGAGGACAGCTGCCCTCCCTCCCGCCAGCCGCCCTCTGGTCCTGGCGGAGCCGGAGCCTCTGCCCACGGGCAGCAGGTGTGGGGACCGAGGAGCCCCGTCCGGCCTGCAGCCTGAGTCACAGGAGGCGGGAGCCGGGCCCTGAGAGGACAGTCGGGGGGAGCAGGCTCCCTTCCGGGGCGGGAGGAGGCGGGAGGAGGCGAGCACAGCGGCCCTGAGGCCGTTCTGTTTTCAGTCCAGACCAGTGATGGCGAACCTACGACACCCGTGTCAGAGGTGACACGCGAACTCATTTTTTTGGTTGATTTTTCTTTGTTAAATGGCATCTAAATATATAAAATAAATATCAAAAATATAAGTCTTTGTTTTACTATGGTTGCAAAAATCAAAAAATTTCTATATGTGACACGGCACCAGAGTTAAGTTAGGGCTTTTCAAAATGCTGACACGCCGAGCTCAAAAGGTTCGCCATCACTGGACTAGACATGAGTGGCCTTTTGCAAACCAGAAGCTCAGCGAAGTGGTCTGCCCAGGACCTGTGGCCTGGGACAGTGTCCCTAACTCCCCGCTCAGGGGAACCACTGCCCAGGTCACAGGTCAGCAGAGGGAGCTGCCCCTAAGGGTGCAGCACCAGGGACCCCGAGCCGCCTTGGGCTCAGGTCCAGTGCTGCCCTCGCTGCCACGAATGGACGCAGCCACCCCCTCGCAGATGCGCCAGCAGTGATGCCTCCGATCTACGTGTCACGGGACAGTGTTCATATCGGGGTTGTGTAAATTTTCACTGAACAGCGCTTTCCGACAGGCCCCGTGAAGAAGAGCTGGAGAAACAGGCGACCAGTGCCAGCAGCCAGGCAGCGTGCCAGTGCCCAGGGGCACCCGCGGGCAAGGCCGTGGCTCCATGCTCCTGCAGCTCCACAGCGGCACCAAGACGCGCCCAGCACAGGCCCAGGGGGCATCCGCTGACCAAGGCGCACCGCCCAGGTGAAGACAGAAAACAGCCCAACAGAGCAGAAAAAGAGGGAAAGGACAGAACACGAAATTTCAACTGTTTTTCTCTTCAAAGGCTTCCATGCAAATATATGTGCGTATTAAAGACTCAGTGCGGCCCGGGCCGGCTGCTCAGTGGATAGAGCCAGTCGGCCTGCGGACTGAAGGGTCCGGGTCGATTCCCGGTCAGGGCACAGGCCAGGGTTGCCGGCGCAGGTCCCCAGTAGGGGGCGAGCAGGAGGCAGCCGATCCATGATTCTCCCTCATCATGGATGTTCTATCTCCCTCTCCCTCTCCCTTCCTCTCTGAGATCAATGAAAATATAGTAAAAAGTAAAAGACGGCATGTGGTTCATCTAAACCTCACCAAGCCTCTGGGCAGAGTGAGGAAGCGCTGCCTTCTACAGACTTCTTGGGACGGTTCTGGCGGGAAGGGGGTGAAAGGTCACGGGAGAGCCTGCGCTTCCCTTGGCCGGGTCCAGCCATCGGCGTCCACACGCCCTTCCCCCTGGACCCACCCCTCCTACAACCAGGAGGCCGAGGGCGGCGTCTGTGCGCGTAGTACCTGCCGTTCCTCGTGTCGTGTTGCCGCATGTTCTTGATGAAATGGATCTTCTTCAAGTTCTTTGGTCTGGGCGAACCGGAGAGAGTTCGACATCTGAAAAACAGTCGTTTCAGAAATACAGTCAGTGGCCGCTGGACAGCTGAGCCACCTCCACACAAAGACAGGAAGGAAAGACCAGACAAACGGGGTGAGTCACCCCAGGATAATGAGGACAATATGGCTGGGAGCAAGGAAGCTTAAAAAACACCGAAGACAGACAACTTCCTTGATGATGCTGATAACACTTTATATGAGCCTCCAAAACGCCAGCTCACGAAAACCATTGTCCTCAGGTACAATCACTCCACCTACCGGCTCCAAAGACATCAGTCTTTCTTGTCATCTTAAAAAAGAAACCCTCTTGTGTCAGCGCAGGCAACGGAAACAGAAAACTGTAAGTTAAAGGGTTCGGAGGGGAAACCACACGGGAAAAGTCCGTGTGAAACAACCCTGAGCCACCTTTCTTGTCCGCAGCCCTCTGGCCTGAGCTGAGCTGCTGCGGTTCTCACGTGGCTCCACATGGAGCTTCACTCGAATGAGGTTCAGCCCCGGCGAGGGGGAGGCTTCTTCTCCTTTTTGTTTTTAAGATAAATTTTAAATAAATATTTGTTGAACAGAACGACTTGGATTGAAAGTATTTTTTCCTGGAATGTACGACACGGGCTTCCATGGGCTGAAAGCCCTGACCTGTGTGTGTGTTTCCACAGTTACCGGTGCATTCCAAGCTCCACAGCTGCAACAACACCAAGGAAAGCAAAACACCCCACACACGAGTCTTTTCTTGGAAAAGGGAGGTGACCGGTCTGTTTTGGTTTCTGCTGCCAAATGTTGCTGTTCACTCAGACCTTTCTGACCCCAGGGCTGATTCTGCCATTGGGAGTGGGGACCCCAGAACTAAGCCTCCGAGGGGAAGTCCCAGGAGCTGTGCCCACTGTCCAAGCCACAGCGAGGTCCGGGCTGGGTCCCCAACCTCAGTCAGGTCTGAGCTTTGAGGCTTCAGGGGCAAGAGTAACAAGGTAATTAACAACCAGGTGGGTATGGGCTCAGGAGGGGGGGGGGGGTCACAGACCCACAGAGCAGCCCAACCTCTAACATCCCCCAAGGGCCAAGCTCAGGGGAAATCAGTCCAGACCTCAGGGTGTCCATCCCCCAAGCCCCTTCCCCACCTCTAGGAAGGGCCAGTCTTTCTAGAAGCCTTTCAACAAAGGGCACTGACATTTATTTATTTTCTAAGAAACAGCCCCTTACAATGTGACTTAGCTTGCAAACAATCACAGCGAAGCCGTGAGCGCCGACGAAGCAAAGGCGTGACACCAGGTACGTGGTGGCTCTCGAGGAAAAGGGGGTTCCCTGGCCTGGGGTCTAGTCAGGTCACTGCATCCGAGCAGGGTCCGCAGCCCCGACCCGCACACTCGTCCCTTCCCTGGCGCTGCTGTGAGGATTCCCGCGGCGGCCTGTACAGAGCTCCGCCATCTGTAGGTGGCGCAGGATGCAGTCACATGGAAACATGCACAGCCGTGCACTTGCACGTGGATGCAAATATGCACACACGTCTCAGGTGTCGTGGTTCTTAAGACCAGTGGCCTCAGAGGGTGCACACTCGGTGACCACCTGCCCCCTATGTTGTTGAAAGTGCCGTCCTTGTTAAGGGTCCTGAGTTCTTGGTTTTAAATAGATTCTTTCAAAGACCTGCACTGCCTGCCGGAGGGCCTTCAGCAGAGCTTCCTGTGGACTTCGGGGGGAAGCACCCCAAACCCCACTCCCCCGCAGGCTCTAACCCAGGTTCAGTCTCCTGGGGGCTCCTCCCGCCTTCTCGGGCAGCTCTGTGGGGCAGGCCCAGGACCCCCTGGCCTCACTTCTACCCCCAGAAACCAACGCTGGAGTCTGCAAGTCACCCAAGGCCCCCACTGTCGCTCTCACACGGCAGAGGACTCCCGAAGCTCAGTCCCTGGCGAGGGGCCTCTGAGAGTGCAAGGACGCTCCCAGGGGATTCTGCACAGGCCGAGGGGTCAGTTGTGCCTCACACCCTCCCCCGCCTTCCCCACTGGAGAGCTTCCTCGGCCGGCCAGTCCAGGACAGTGGCCACAGCAGAGTGAGCAGGGCTGTGAGCACCTTCCCATCCTGCCCCAGGGGCCGGAAGCCCAACTCAATCCCAGGCCCGAGGAGGAGCACCGGCTGCTCCCCGCCTCTGGGCCCGCAGAGAGGGCTGCAGGTCGGGGGACACAGCCCCACAGGCCTCTGCAGGAACTAGGAGTCATGGGTGGCTGTCAGCACCAGCAGGGGAAGGAGGAGGTGCAGCAATCGCCGAATAGGGCACCAGCCAGCCCCCACCGGCCCAGACAGGCTGGAAACTGGGGCGGCAGCGGCTGCCACGTGTGCGCAGGTAAACGAGGTTTTTCTGGACACCTAGGGAGTCCTGGGTTCTTATTTCTAGGACACTCGGTAACCACCAGGCCAGAGGAAACCCTCTCCTTGTAAATGCTCAATTCTTGGAAACTTACTAACACACTGGGATGCACAAGAGAAAAGCAAGACTTTCAAAAGGAGAACGTAACAGAGGTGCTTTATGTGGCTCTCAGCGCCCGATCCTAGCTGCCTGGGCTCCCTTTCAAGGAGCAGCGTGTTGTCCTGCGTCTTTTAAGCATTCAACTCCACCCCCAGGGAGCCTGAGGACACCCTAGGGAGTCGTGGCGTTAGCAACCATTGCCAAGGAAACCGGAAGACTGAGCACATGTTGTGGCAGGGTGAGCAAAGAATGAATTAATTTTGAAACCGCCTGAATTAACATGTAAATATCCATTTTAAAACATACACTTTAAGTGACGCCAAATTAAATTAGGGTAGGATTAAATTAAAAACTAATTTAATGAAAGATTAGCTCTTTCTTGTTAGCACTGATTATAGGACACACGTAATTATGCAAAAGGTTTTTAATAGATGCCTTGGAGCCACTTGTTCAATGTGCTCAGTTTAAAAGCCAGTTGGGCATTAGCATTCCACCCCCAGTTCCCCCAAAATTTCAGTGCCGTTAATGATACATTCATTTCCCAGAACCCGGGAGCTGGGAAGGACCTCTGCGATCAGCCCCTTGTCCCTCCCGCGTTACAGATGGGAAGACTGAGGCCCCAGCGAAGCTAAGGGAACTTCCAAGGCCGTGTGACCGGTTTGTAGAAGAATCCGGTCAAGCCCTCAAATCCCCTGACTCCTAACCTAAGGTCCCTCCTGCTGTGCCGTGCTGATGTTATTTCCTAGGAACAAGTATATTTCTAAGAAAAAAATTTTAATTAAGAAAGAAGTCCAGGGGAAAATGAAGGCTTCTTAAACTGCCTCGATTCCCTTATTTCTGACTGATGGTTAAATGTTGGATTTGAACAAGATTTGCTGGGAATTCAGCAGTTTCTGGAAGAGCTGAGGGAGACACCCGGTCTCACTCTGCCTGTGCTGCCACCAGGACACAGGGCAGAGCAGGCTCAGCCTGGGCCAATTCTGAGAGGGGCAGGGTGACGGGCGTGCGCCCAGGAGCGCGTGCCCAGCGCCCCCTCGGCCCCTTAACCACCTGGGCCCCTAAAGGGGAGCGACGTCTTCCCACCGGGCCCCCTTGGCGCACGGCCACGGGCACCCTGACCACGAGCTGCTTGGGCCCTGGGGACACCAGGCTGCCAGCTCCGCACACTGGTTTCCCGTGTGTGGCACCTGCTCGCAGCACCGCCCCCCCTCGCTGATCACCTGGGCCAGCGCCTGCCCCCACAGACTTTAGTGCCGCTTCTGCAGCTCTCCCTCCAGGAAGCAGCCCTTCTCCCAACACTGACAGCAGCCAGGACGGAAGGACGCACGCACCGCGCCTCGTCGTCCCGCAGCGACACGCACTCACCGGGGACGGCCCCGAGTCACAACCGTTTTCAAAAGCAGAAACTGAACTGTCAGCCCCGCTGTCTCTTTGGAATAAAGTCAATGATGGGACTCAGGGCATCTGACACGTTCGACCCGACGCCGGCCTGTCCGTGCTCCACCCTCCACCCGGAGGTCTGTGCACAAGACCCAGGACCTGGGGGAAGGCTCTGGGCCCAGAAGGAGCCGGCTCCAGGGTGAGCTGCCTCCCTCCACATGAGCATCTCCCAGGCCCAAAGGGAAGGGCCCGGGGCGCCCCAATCCTGACCCACGGCCCGACCCACGGGTGCAGGTGTGGGTTCCGGAGGAGCGGGTGCGAGCTGAGGGCACACCCTCCGCAGGCTCCCCTGCCACTGCCACGTGTGCCCTGTCGGCCAGCGCCCGGCTCGCTCAGCTCCTTCTGCAGGAGCAGCCCCCACGGGCCACAGGCTGGGCGGCAGCGAGTGCTGCCTCCTCCAGGGGCCTGGCTGGCCCGCGGTGCGGACGGGGCGGCAGAGGGGGTTAGAGGAGGCACGGCACAGCTCAGCACTGCAGTCACCCAAAAAGGTGCCGCCAGCACTTCCGTCATCTCCGGGGAGGGAGGGACCAGTCCCAGGGAGCAGGCACAGCTCCCCTCACACGTTGCCCAGCACCTGGCCGCACAGGGCACCGCAGGCACCGTCAAGGGAGCCTGTGTCTGCTGCGTCACATGGCACCTGGACGGGGGCCAGGCTGGGCTGTCTTCATCGCCAGCAGCTTTCACAGGGAAGGGAGAAGGGCCCCACACTGTTCTCCTGGTCCTCAGGGCAGGGGTGTCCAAACTATGACCCTGGGGCTCAGACGTCATTTTAAACACTTAATTCTGCAGATCAGGAGTTTTAACTGTGGCTGTGACCTTGCCCAGCGAGCGATTTACACACAGAAACGCCAGCCGGACACTCACCTCCGCAGGGGGGCGTTCTCCTCAATGTCTTCCAGCGTCTCCAGCGAGGACCTCTGGGAGAGGAGCCGGCGTCTGCGGAGAGAAGGGAGAAGCCTGGGCGTTAAAACTGCCTGTGAAAGGGACCGGGCGCTCTGTACGTCGAAAGCTGTTCTAAGAAAGAAAGTCCAATAAAGTCCAAAGAGATCAGACAGCAGCTTCTTTACGAGGCCGCGTCCCCCAGCCGCACCCTGAAGGGGCAGCTCACGGGACCCTAGGACAACAGCTCGCAGCTGTGCCTCTGAAGCGTCCAGGCCACAGCTGAGGCGCGGCTGCTCCCAGCCCTCGCCCAGGCTGGTCTGAAGCCCCAGAGGGACAGCCCGACGCCCAGCAGGTCACACCCCTCCCGCCAGGCCCGCGTCGCCTCATCCAAAGGGCAGGGCAGTTCCACAAGGAGCGCGCGTGCCGTCAGCCATGCACGTCAGTCCTGGGGTGGGAGGCTTTGGAGCTTAGCAAATGCCTTCATCCTGGAGCCTCAGTGTCCTCGTCCACGAAATGGGAAAGTGAGAGCAGGAAGCAGAGCTCAGGAGTGCTCGACGCAGGGCAGCTGCTGACACGCAGCTACGGGGCTTCCGACTGACACTCGTTTCCTCCCCTGGAGATGCACCCTGACCTGCCTTCCCCTCAAACGACCGGATCGGGCGGCTGTCCTCGGCCTGCCCCCCCAGTCCCAGTCAGGGCACGGGTCCCCACCAGAAGCCCTGTGCCTTAGACTTCCCTTCTACTCTGCTCCTTCTACGCGTGTTCCTCTTCTGGG